GAATTTTTTAATAAATTTAGCCCAAAAAAATGAAAAAAAAAATTTATTGAGCTCTTCCTCTCTACTGAGTTAAAGTGAAGGAAGGCAAGCAACGGGTTTGCATTAGAAGGATAATATTGTGGGTGTGGTCCCTTATCATCATCACTATATTTAATTGTAACTTATAAAGCAAATTAAAACACCCCTTCCCCTATTTGCATGTTTGTTAATTATTCTTACCCAAGTTCCCCTCTCTCTCTCTCAATCGCCCATTTGCGAATCACAATTTGGCTACTCATACTTCATTGGCTACAGCCAAAAACTAAAAGGAATCTAATTTGTGATTTAAAGTTTTTCTTTCTTCTTTTAAGACAAAACCCTTCTATTCAAAAGGTTTTTTTTTTTTTTTTTTCCTTTTTACTTCCTACCGAAAAGGAGGAAGGAAAACAGAATATTATTACGTACGGATATTCCTTGTTCTTGCTTCCCCAAGTATATATTCTCTTCTCGTTTCTTATGTTATTCTGTCTCTTTTTTTTTTTTTAATAGACAGCTACCTTAAAATAATTGTGGATAGCTATTTTATCGGTGGTTGGATTCTTTTTAACGCGGTTTTGTTATTCTCTTCTCTATTTGTAACAAAAAAAAAAAAACCTTAAAAAATAATTATTTTCCCATTCATCGTACTCTTTATATTACTATTGTAAATCATCAAAATTCAAGATTATAATGGTTTAACTCTTACAAATCATTATGTTTTTGTGCCTTGGTTTCTATTTTCAGTTCGTTTAAGCCAATTCATTGAATTTATAATTACTTACTTTTACTATTACACTTCCTAAAAATGGTTATGTCTGTACGAAATTTTAATGGTGATTGGATTGACCTTCTTTTTTCTTCTCATGAAATATAAAAATTATCAGCACAAAAACTAATATCAAATAATTATTTATAAATTATTTATATTTATCACCACGTGTCTTACAAGTTAATACTTATTTTTTATTTATATTTAAATAATATATTAATATATAATTGTATATTGTAAATATTTAAAAATAATAAAATGCATATTAATAAATAAAATTTTTATTTCTCAAAAATAATAATAAAGCTTTTTATCTAACACATTTTAATTTGATAAAAAAAAAGATAATTTGAGTTAAAAAATCAAGCACCAATCACTTGAATCAAATCTTCGAATATTTTTATTTTTATTTTTTGAAATAAATGACACTTAAACATTTGATTTAGTATCACTCATTAAAAAAAAAAATTGTTTTGAATAAAAATAGTATCAGTTTTTATATACCGTATCACTTGTCAAATGAAAATTTTAAATTTCGTAAACAAAATTAAAATATTATCACATGTTTCATTATTTATTATATAGTTTATTAATATTTTTAAAAAAGATATCATCTTGACATGATAATTCTCTAACTTTATTAGTAAAGTTTAAAAGTAGGTATTATAACATTAAATTTTTTTTATAAAGATAACTTTCATTAAAAATCAACAAAAGAAAATCAACAATTTTGTAATTTACTAATAAAATATTATATTTTTAATTTTAGTAAATAGATTCCATTATTGATAATTTTAAATAAAATTAAATGTCATGAATGACCCATAAATTATAATAAAGTGATTGATGTGATATTTAAATTTAAAAAATTTTTAATATGATATCTTAATTATAAATTTATTAATTAATATAATATTTAAAATATTATTTATCCATTAATCATATTAATCAATAAATTTATAATATTTAAATATCACATTAAAAATTTTATTATAATTTAAAAATGATCTATGATATTAACATTTTTAAATATAAATTCAAATACATAAATAAATAAATAAAATAAGTACGTAATATCATGTGCCAATGAGGGACCGGTCACGTGCTCTGCCACATTGGTGGTATGACGCAAGAGGCACTCTTGATGTAAAAACAAGTGTCCAGCCATATTGCCTAGCGGGGAATGATGGGGCAGCCGCCCCAATCAAAGCGTTTCAGCACTTGACATTTGATGAAGCCACGTCATTCAAGTTTTATAATTTAACTGGTTACTTGTTTAGGCAGTTAATTGTCAGATAATTATTTTTTTATCGTGAAATTTAATTTGGAGTTTGTGAAAATCAAAATACTCTTATCTAAATCAGTTTTTTTTTTTAAATACCATCATTTTTTTAAATTACAGTTTTTTGGAATGCTTTAAATTTAACACTTTTTTCATAATTAGTTTTATATCTTTATTACATAGAAAATTAAATATATTAATATTAACACCATTTTGTTCATTAATTTTTTTTGAAAATTTGTAAAGAAATTTATTTTGCAAATTCAATATTTTTAATATATTTAATTAATTAAAGTAAGAAATTAAGCACAATCCACCCAAGTACATACTTTAAAAAAGTAGACAAAACTTGTTAAATTAAACTTAAAAATAAATGAGTTACTAAATTAAGTATAAAAAAAGAAACCATGAAAATATATAAAAATATTTTTTCCTTTGCCATAAGAAATTAAAAAAAAATACTTTTCTGCTATCACTCAAACTTTATAAACATTTAAAAAGTAAAAAAGTATAATAGCTTTATCTAAGGGTTACGTTACTTGCTAGAATCATAGGATTGTCTTGACTTAAGATCAAGTTTTGAATAGTATTTTTAAAAACTTAAATATATTAAAATATTAATATAATATATTTTATTAATAGTTAATTTTAATTAAAAACATATTAAAATATTAATACAGAAATATTTTATTAATATTTATAAATTAATTTAATAGGAATTGTCCTGCAAATTAAAGATTACCAAGTTAGTAAAAAAATAGAGAAAATCTTATAAATAAAAACCATATAGGATAAAAGCATACCTCAAAAATATATCCATATATAAAATGTGTTGGCCTATAAAAAATGGTAATTATATGCTACCAAGAAATTATAGTTTTGTTACCTTGTATTTATTTAAATAGTAAAGGTTGAATCTAAAAAATATATTTTAAATTGAAATGGAAATAAAAGCAGAAGTCTATCTCTACATTTTTTTTTTTTTTTTGGATTAAAGCGCTATGTGGAGTGTTGCCGTGGGCAGCGAAATACATGTTTTGTCCTTTTCTTCTCGCAATTAGATTTTTTATCTTGTTTCCACGTGAAGATACGCGACTTGCATTAGCAAATAACCGGTTTGGAATTATAAAAATTGCATAAAATGGCTTCGTCGATTGTGAAGTGGTGAAGCGCGGTGTTTGGGATGACTGTCCCTGGAGTTCTCCATTGCCTCAAAGATTCCTTATTAGCAACTTTGTAATGTGGAAACAGCGCACACCTTATCATTACCTTCTTTGAAAATGACTAACGTAAACGGCGGGGAAGAAAAAGAAAACTCGGTACTTTTTAGTTTTTATTCACTCAGTTCCGCCGAATCAGTCACCGTTAAAAATGCAAAGATTCCCAGCACAAACTGAGCGAAGCAAAGCATCCCATTAAGAAAGAAAAAGGATCCAACCAAAATTTAACGGTGCAGGATCCCTCATGAAAGAAGTTTGCACAAAATGCAAGCAACAGAGGAACAACTTCTTTATTTATTTATTTATTTATTATTTTTTATGCGGGTGGGGGGGCCCACCAAATCACAGACAACGTGCCACGTTATGATTGGCCAATGGCCAGGGGAGGTGGACCAGTCTCTCCATGAGGGTGCATGCAGCGTGCCAAACAATTGCTTTTGCATTGAATTCTCATTTTCCATAACGAAAAGAGAGGCCCAGGCGGTGAGCCATGTCGTGACTGTTTGAGTGGGATTCCAAGGAGGGATAAGGATTTTTGTGGATCGGCGGACCCCGCCCTATGTTGCTATCCTCCACCACCCCTCTAAAATTCCCATTTTTACACCCGCCACGCCAAGAGAGTGGCTCACGACGACGTTTGCAAGGATGCGTATTGCAAATGCTGCAGCCTCCAAATTTTACGAATTGTATCGTGGAAACACGCAAACATCACGCTCCTCACCATTGCGTGAATTGCACACAATATAATGCGCAAATAAATGCAAAGTTCGTAGCAATCCAAACTGTAGTAGTAGTATTATTTTTTTGTTCTTATTAAAATATCTTGCTTCATTTAATTTAACTTATATATTATATTTAAAATTCAGTGGGCACTCAATGATGAATCAAATGTTGCGTTCTCAACATGGAGTAGGGTACAACCTAATGTACCCAAATTCATTTATTAAATTAAAATGTATTGAATCTAGAGACAGAGGAATAAGAAAAAGACACCTGCCATGCACCTAAAATTTCCTTTAATTGGTGGTATCAAATATAAATTCAACATTTGCCAAATTATATTTAATTAGAATGAACTGTTTATCGTGGAAAAGAAAAATCAAAATTTATTGATATTGATATGATTTTTCATGTAAATAATGCATTCACAAATATTCATAAAAGTTAATAAAAATACTTTAATAAAATGATAAAATAAAAATTCATTTAATTTTAATGAAATTTTTTCTCATTTCGACCATCAAATACAGTAATAACTCATCCTAAAATCATGGATTGAAAAACTTCAAATTTTAATACCCGTTTTTTAAAAAATCAAAGAAATTCGATCCCACTGAAAGACGTTCAAAGACAATATTCCCAAGAGCGAAGTGTGGGGGTGATTTACACGCTCATGAAGAGTGCGTGATGATTCCCAATCCTTTTCGCTAAGGAGTATCCAATTAGATTTCGAGTATAAAGTGAACAAGACAGAGCGTGTAGGATAATTTGGGAAGCATAGGAAGCATCGTCCTTACAATTGCCACATTGCTATGGCCCCCCTTTTGACATTTTCACAAAGTCAAAGAAAAAGCAAAACCCACGAACCCCAAAAGAAAGAAAGAAAAAAAAAAAAAAGAAAATCCACTATTTTTTTTCCCTTCCCTTTTCCAAAATGGAATACACATTTTTTATTCTCGCAAGTATAAATAATTAACAATTATCAGTGCACCATCATTCCTCTCTCTTCTTACTCTGTCTAATTGTCTTATGCTCTTTTTTCTCCTTTTCTCTATTATTTTTTTTCTTTCTTTCACACCCGGAAGAAAGTCAGCGCCGTCCTGCCTTCTCTGCCTGCGTTTCCTTTCAGCCCAATTTGCTTAAGAAAACGCTGAGTTGAGATTAGGTGTTTGAAAGTTTCTAGCTTCATTTGGGCTGCTGAAAAAATGGCTGAGGACTGGGATCTTTATGCAGTGGTCAGGAGTTGTACGTCTGCAGCCGCCAATACCACCACCACAGCAAGCAATAATGAGAATAGTAGCAGCTGGAATGAGAACCCTTACCCTTTGGCTTGCTTGGCTTCTTTGACGTTCGAGGAAGAAGAAGACCCGTTTTCATTTCCTAATCTTTCACAGGTTAGGAAAAGTGTTTCTTTGCAAGATTCTTACAAGCCCTTTTTGCCATACGCCTACCCCACCACCATCAGCACTAATCTAGGTATAGATCCCAGCTCTTCAAGTTCTGTTCCTGGAGGATCTAGTGGCCAACATCATCAGCAGGAACAACCCACCAGCAGCAGCATCGGGATTAGCTCTCCATTGACTCTCACCTCCGCTCCTATTTTTGCTTTTGGTCAATCTGGAAACCAGCAACAACCACACCATGTACAGGAACAACCACAATCGCAGCAACAAATTAATCCATTACACCGACAGCAGCAGCTGCAACAACGGATTCAACCGCAGCAAGTTCAAAGGCCTACTGCTGTCCTTCCTTTACGGAACCTGCAATCCTTGGCTCCAAGATCAAGAAAGAGGTAAACGGCCGGGTATTGTTTGTTTGTGTTAATTTTTCTGGTTAAAAGATTGAAACTTTGCAGAACTTCCTTAGCTAAAAGTTGCCCATTTTTTCTCGTTTTGCAGGAAGAACCAGCAGAAGAGAACCGTATGCCATGTAACAGCAGATAATTTGTCATCAGATCCGTGGGCATGGCGTAAATACGGACAGAAGCCCATCAAAGGCTCTCCCTATCCAAGGTTAATTAATTCATTTCCGTACCCTTCAATGTTAATTTCTTTCGTTACTTTTCCTTTTCCTTTTTAATATTATCAAAATCCTACTATTATATATGCCAAACATAGTCTAACGATGAATTTTGGTTTCCTTCAGAAACTACTACAGGTGCAGCAGCTCAAAAGGGTGCTCAGCCAGAAAACAAGTGGAGCGTAGCAATTTGGATCCCAACATCTTTATTGTTAGCTACACAGGCGACCACACGCACCCTAGGCCCACTCACCGGAACTCTCTCGCTGGCAGTACTCGAAACAAGCTATCAACCAATCAAAAGGCCGCAAGCAAAGATTCTGCCCCGGAAACCTTGCCTAGTACTACTGTTTCTTGCTCCTCTCCTCGCTCCGCCACAAGCCTCTCTCCCACAACCCCACTTTCAGCTCCTGAAGACGCCGCCGCCGACGTGCACAGTAGGGGTGATAATGGAGGTGAAGAAGAAAGCGTTGACATGACTCTTGAAACGGCTCCGGATGGAGAAAGCGATGAAGATGATCTTCTGATCCCCAACGTGCATGTAGATGAAGATCTCTTCAAGGGATTGGAAGAACTCGTTGGAAGTGATGGGACCGGCAGTACTAGTAGTGGATTAGGACGACCCAGCCCGGCCTTTGGTGATAGCTTCTCTTCTTGGGGTACCGGTAACTCCACCGGAGCCACCGCTGGTGGTGGCTGCTAGACTGATTTCATTTTTATTGTTGTTATTATTAGTATTATTTTTTTGTATACTACGTAGTATAAAATTTTTTTGATTGGATACAGAGAAATAGGAAGACTCCAAGTTTATGTAACTTAATATTTCCCTTTTATTACCTCTCTCCAAAAGATAAATACAGAAGAGAAAGCATATTTTCCACACCTATCAATTTCGTTTATGTAACATCATAAGAAATATTCTGTTCATGCAGTTTTATTTTAAGGTCAAAAGTCATTACTAGAAGTTACATCCAAGTGATGTTATATATTCTAATTCCGCTACAATGATGATATATACTCTCCTTTTTTTTTTTCTTAGGAAATACTCTTATATATGATTATAAACCATAGATAATCCAATTTGTTGAGTTTGATCGATCAGCATATGATTTTGGACCAATTGATAGGCTATGTTACTTGGATTTGGTGGGGTGTTAGATTTGAGTATATATTCATAACAAATATATTCATTTCTTAAAAGTTATATATATATATATATATATTTGAATGGGTTGAATTTTCATATTCATATAATCATATATATATATATGTTTATATATGTATTTGACACAAATATTTCAATTAAAATGAAAAGTTTGAAAGCAACATAATGATAGGCACGATCAGAAAATCTCATCTCAGTAATTAGGTTCTAATTGCATGGTCGAAGCCAGCTTTGATCCAGTACACGTTGGGAAAGAACCTAGTTATTGCCTGCTTTTTGCTTAATTACAATAAAATAAACCAAGGGACATTATAATTATCACTAATCATCACAATAATTAATTGTAAAAGCTATTTTTTTAGGAATCCATACATTCTGTTTGATAGAACAATATATACCATCCTTTCAAGATAATAATGCCCCTGAATAATCTCCCAAAACAAGGAATGATTTTGGATACGACAAGTCATTTAAATTAAGAAGACTTCATATTTTAATACGTCCTATAATCATACTTTATATATATGATGACGATGATTCTGGTTTTTATTGATGAGGATTTTTAATGTTTCAATAAGCAATTTTCCTTAAAAAACTCAACAACATAAAAACAATATAGATCGGTGATTATTCAATATTGTAAACTTTTACAGTGAGTGTCGTTTTATTGACGAAACCCCTAAAAATTAAGTAATTTTGACGTCATCCAAATGAACCTAACACTGAAGAATTACGACAACAATTCTAATAACACAGCTAGCAGCCTCCTTGACTATTATATAATTAGCATATCGTTGTATCCTCTGAATGCGATTTTCTAGTATTTATTTAGGATTATTAAATTGTAACTAAAAAAAAAGAATCCAGGATTATTAAATTGGCAGTGAAGATGTAAAAGGACAGTTGTGGGAACCGCAAAAGAAAGGGTTTCATCATTCGGGAGTTCAGACCGTGAAACCGTGAAACCTTGTCAACCCGTTGGGTGGGAATGGGATGCCTTTATCACGAGACAAAAGGCAAGATCCCTTTCCTGTCGGTTCACACAATGGACTTTGCTAGTGGGTTCCAAGGTCAACTAAATTTTATTTATATATACAAGAATTGGTCAAACTTATTTTATTTACTTCCTATAATAAACAAAGTAGTATTTGGGTTTGTTTTTATGAAAGAAAAAGTTATAACTTTAGAATAAAAAGGAATTATAAATATTTATATTTAAATTTTATATTTATTAAATATTATTTTTTAAAAAATAATTATATGAATCAATTCAAATCAAATAAATAATGTTCATAATATATGTCAGAGTTTATAATTATTGAATTTTTAGGATCCTAGAAATTGTATATGATGGTAATATGAGGTGAGATAGCTCAAAGAATCTAATGATGTAAAAGATGGGGCTGCAAGTTGTTAGGCCAATCTTATCTTAATCAAGTTATTTGATGGAAGAATGTGACTAACGGCAGTCTTTGCCCTTATAGCAACCCTAAGGGTTAAGGTCATCTTCTTTCTCCAATATAAAATGGGGACATATCAAAATATTTTTTTTTTTAAAGACTGGGCATGAATCATGACGTAAGAACTTGGTCTTAGTTTTCCTCCTACATCTAATATTATTTATTCAGAGTTAGCAATATTTAGATCTTATTTATATTAATTTTTTAAAGTTTTAGAGATTTAAGTTTTAAGGATGTATTTGGTACATAATATTATGATAAAATATGATAAGATAATATTATGAATAAGATAAAATAAATAACGTTATTCTATCTTGTATTTTATATATGTAAGGAATAAAATAAGATAATATTTATTGATTAAAATTATCATTCTTCAAAATATGTAAAACTTAAATTATTAATGTAATTTTTAAGAATATAATAGGAAATATAAATTTACTCTTATGGATTAAAAATAATATTTTTCACTTTAAGGAGGATTAAATTATCTTATACTAAGAGGGTAATTAATCCTTCTAACAATTTTACCCCTTTCTTTATACATAAATTAAATATAATATAGGATGATTGTTATCTTATCTCATATATCCATCATCTTATGCACCAAACATGATTTAAATGTATTATAATTTTATAATGAATTTATCTAGTTAGTTATTTGTTAGTTTTGATGATTATATTGTTTGTTTGATTTAATTTATTCATTTTTTTATATGTTAATTAGTTATAATTATATTATTTTTGTATTAATAATGTTTGTACCGAGCTCCAACCTCAAGGTGTTCTTAAAAAAATAAAAGAGAAAGACGATTAGAGGCAAATGAGGGTGTGTTCTTTGTGTTTGCACTTCGACGCACAAGTCAAAAAGAGTGAGATCAAAAAGGAAGTAGGAATGAGAGAAATGAAGTTGAATGAAATTGCCTTAATAGTGCCTGGACCTTCATATTTATAGGTAAGTTGTAGGGGACCACTAAGGGACAATAAGGATAGTGCTGAGTTGATGTGGCATTGAGCATGTCAGACTGACTTGACATGTCAGGGTAGCACAAATGACAAAAATACCCTTGGTTGTTTGCTGAAGGCTTCTAACACTCTATCCTCAACATTCTATCCCTTGGTTGTTTGCTGAAAGCTTCTAACCTTTTTGACCATCAAATGCCCTTAACACTCTATCCTCCCACCAAGTAGTCTGAGTGTCAGATTATTGAATGTATGATCGACACCCTTAGTGTAGGGTAAATTGGCAAAAGGAGATGACCTGAAAGTTTGATTCTTCGAAACTTCTGAATGTATGATTGACGCCCTTAGTGTAAGGCAGATTGGTAAAAAAAGATGATCTGAAAGTTTGATTCTTCGAAATCGAAGTTATAGAAATAGGTCAATCTTAAAGGATGACCAGCCTTGAACCATGGTCTAACCTTGTAATTATCTGATCTCGTGTGTGCATCTTAGGTTGAGTATATAGTCGACTTAAAGGTTATCGAAATGATAATTGCTCAGAATGATTCGAGGTTAGTGCTTAAGTTCATTTAGTCATTGTGAGACTTGTATTTTATTTCAAAAGCTTGGATTTGAGCCTCTACTTTAAACTTTAATGGTGAACCAGGCTCTCGATTTACCTCGAAGAGTTATTTGATTTAACCAGTCAAATAAAAGGTTCGTCCAATTAGGCCAGTCTAACAATATTAAATAAGGAGAAAGGCAGTCTAAGTAGAAAATTTTAAAAAAGAAAGATGAAAAGACATATTCTCATTTTTACTCCAACACATGGTATAACATATGCCATTTATTTGATATGCAACGCGTCTATATAAAGAGCTATTGGGGCTTCAGTTTTTTATCTTTTTATTTTTTGGCTCTTAATCTGATCTGAACTTTTCAATCTCAAAAGCTTTTTGGCCTTTAGAGTTTTTTCACTCTTTCTTCAGTACGTATTCTTAACCATGTCTTTTAGTATGAGTTATAGGAAGGTCGAAAGTTATCAAATAAAACCTAAGAAAGGTCAACGTGGGCAAGACGATAATGATTTGATTTTATCATTCATTGGGAACCATAGTTATGAAAAAATGACCTTCTGATTTAATTCAATGTCTAAGGAAGGGCAATGGTGAAACAAAAAAAATGCTCGCGAGGGGAATGGGTCTTGAGCATAGAGGAACTATGTGCTCAGATAGACTTCAACCTATAAAATCCACCACTTTTCTCTATTTTTCAAGTCCATCAATATTTTATGGCTGACCATATTTCATTTTTTATTGTTCCCCTTTCTGGGGTTTGGTCACATCAATTTTTTTTTGCTTTTACTCTTCTTCAATCAATGCTCTCATTGTTACTTTCATTTTACGCTAGCCAATTCTTGTTGAGATCTTTTCCTTTCCTAAGGAGTCTCTACCTTATCCCTTTTCTCTCAGAGTTGAGTTACTTTCAGCCACAGTTCCACCTCAGAATCTTGATTTTTTTATGAGTTAGAGTTTTTTGATGATGAATATTCTAAAAAAAAAAGTTTCAAAGAGAAAAAAAAAAAAGGAATACCTCGATCGAAGAAAGTGGTGATAATGAAAAGAGTACTGTAAAGTAAGATGAACTAGCTGAAATTCTTGTATATATTCTTTATGACCTCAATGTGTCCCTAAGGACGTGATAGCTAACTAAAAGGTAAGGTAAATCTTAAAAAACTATCTTAACATGTATTCAAGTCATCACGTCCGTGCTCTGGCTGTGACTTTCCTTTTTCCCAAAAAAAAGGTATAGTATAATAATACTAAACTCTTTAGATCAGATCACTAATAAACTGGAGCTACATTAGCTCTATGTGTATTGAAATTTCTTCATGGCCGGTATGAAGTTTTCACTTCATCTTTTATTTATTTTAATTTTTAATTCTTACAATTTGATTACCACTCAACTCATTTCTAACTCTATACGGTACACAGTTACCTTCATCATTCTTTATCAATATTTAAATATTTTTTCCCTCTATTTAAAGATTTTTTTTTTAAAAAATTACTTGTAGGTGGTATAACATAATAGCTTAGTCCAATAAAAAATTAGTTGTCGATTGCCTGAGCTAAATAAAAAATTAAAAGTTGCTTTTCTTTTACCTTAAGAGGCAAAAAATAAATAACAATGGTGAGTA